GTCAGTTCAGAAGTCCATTGAGAATCTGTCTGATTTTAGCTTCCCTCGGCGTCATGGTGACGTTAATGTGAGGTCTGATGGACAAAGACAGCTCAGAGAGAAAAACGGCAGCTCGTTTCGTCTTTGATGATTACGGGAATGTTTCTGTCCGTCACAAACCAGGAGAATAAAGTTTAAATTTGAATCTGAGGCTCCGCCTCCCGCTGTGATGTTCTGGTCGGTGATTTTCTGAATGGACTTCCTGCTGTGCGGTGTGCTCAGCCGTACAGAGGGCTGACTGTGTGTTGTGAGTGTGAATGGAGGCGAGACGGGTGAGGGCTGATTCCAGGTGCTGCAGGTCACGTGATCACTGCTGGTCTCTGAACACGTCCAGGTGGAAGGCCGTGTCCAGGAAGCGCCGCAGCTCGATCAGGTGAGTGTTTTTGTTTCCTGTGGCGGGAGCGGCTGCCGGGTCTCTGCCAGCATACCTGAAACACAGAGAGGGTGTGGTCAGAGGTTGCACGGTGGTGGACAGACGGTCTGATCATGATGACGGTGGTTACCAAACGGGCTTGGCTTTCTGCGTGGTGGTCCTGATGCGAGGCTTCACGTAGTCGTAGTAACCCTGGTTCTTGTGCTCCTCCTGACACCAGACCAGGTCGGCGTTGGGGAAGCGCTCCGTCTCCGCCTTCACCTGGTCGAAGGGGAACGGGGAGAGCTGCGGGGAGAGACGGCGTGGCGTTACTGCCTGTTCACCAGCCACTGCCGCCGAGTTCCCTAAAGACTGTAACTAAAGCTACTTTAGAGTATGAGTCAGCTGACACCGTAAGCCCCTGGCTGCAGCCAATCAGAAGTCTCCGTGTGGCATGCGTGTACCTGCTCAATGCGGCTGATGGCCACCGTGTTCTCCAGGCCTCTGCTCTTCCGCTCTTTGGTCAGCTCGTAGTAAACCTTTCCTGTGCAGAAGATCAGCCGCTTCACGGCCTCTGGACGCTCGGCCGCCACGCCCACCTCCGGGATCAGCCGCTGGAAGTGAGTTCCTGCAGCGAGGAAGAGGAGGTGGAAGAAAAAGGGAAAGCATGGAAGAAGGATAAAGACGAACAAAAGACAAAGAAGAGGAGGATGGGATGAGAAGAAGGGTTCAGGCTGGGTTCGTCAGAGCCGTTAGCGCTGCAGGTGTGGGTGGAGGCGTTACCGGGCAGCATCTCGTCAAAGCTCGATCGGGCCTCGGGGTGACGCAGCAGAGACTTGGGAGTGAAGATGATCAGCTGGGGACACAAACAGGAAGTTGATCACATGACAGC